CTTACAACCAAAGTTTTTATCTGATGTAAAATGAATAGAAATCATACATATACCAAAAAGTTTTTTTAACTTATTTATTTACCAAATTTCCCAGAGGAACCCACCCGAGGGATTAATAAAGTTTCATCTAATCTAATCTAATCTAATCTAAGACAGTGTACATCACTGTCACAACAGGGTTGTTTTCATTCAAAGGCTTTATGGCTTTAATACCTGGTGAGACGGTCTCCAGTCAAAATGCCCGATTTTTTGTCCCAGTCCAGCCCTGGGCACGACACGCAGTGAGTTAATCTGAGAGGGTGCATTAAGAAATAAATTCAGCAGCTGTCCGATCAGCGCAGCATCAGCACCGCGGAGATACACGGATACATCCGTAGACTTGAGACAGAATTCACAATGCTTTTTTGGGACTTTCAGGTTTTTGGACCAATGTTTTATTTTCTGATCAAACCAGAAAGTTTTAATGAGCAGCTGGTTTGTCTCACATTAACTGGTTGGACACAGAGGACATCGAAATGCAGCTGATTGAACTGAAAAGCTCGACTCTGTGGAGTCAAAGTTTGCAGAACTACGAAGCAGCTGGAATCCACAGCTGTGCATGTTCATGCAGCTGCATGTTCAGCTGCTGGACGTCACTACCTGACAGGTTTAACTGTCTTCAGAGCATTGCAGAGGCCTTATTGACAGTGTTTACCATTGTTGTGAGGAAACCATAAATAGCATTTGTATTTTCTGTTGTACAGTTCATTTGCTGTTATGTTGTTCTTGTTATGGATACAAACTTTTTTTTGTTTCCAAATAGCTGATAACTATTCGCTGATAGCTGCCAACTTCTGTGAACAAATATAATCCTGTAAAGTGGTTTTATATAGTGTGTAACTGTTCATATAGAGCGTTATTACATTTATTGCTAATGCAATCATATGGCACACTGACCTCTGAGGAAATTTTAGATGCACTCATCATCAGAGAGGTTGCCGACTCCTGCTCTACACAAACGTAAATACCTGAGTACTGATTGCTCCGATCAGACATAGAAACAGATGATACAGATGTATACAGAATAGAAACAGGATGACAGAGTAATGCTGCAAAAATCATCAACTGAGAGGTCAAAGAAAAACTGCAGCTAATGCACTGATCCTGTTCATTTCTGCAGATTAGAGCTCTTTAACCTCCTAGGACCTGCGTCCACATATGTGGACGTCACATTTTGGGTTAT